TTAAACCCGGATCAGGGGGATACTCACTGTCCCGGTTAAACCCGGATCAGGGGGATACACACTGTCTCGGTTAAACCCGGATCAGGGGGATACTCTGTCTCGGTTAAACCCGGATTAGGGGTTACTCACTGCCCCGGTTAAACCCGGATTAGGGGGTATTAATTGTCCCGGTTAAACCCGGACCAGGGGTTACCCACTGTCCCGGTTAAACCTCGACCAGGGATACTCACTGTCCCGGTTAAACCCGGAGCGGGGGTACACACTATCCCGGTTAAAACCGGACCAGGGGGTACTCACTGTCCCGGTTAAAACCGGACCGGGGGTACTCACTGTCCCGGTTAAACCCGGACCAGGGGATACCCACTGTCCTGGTTAAACCCCGACCAGGGGTTATGCACTGTCCCGGTTAAACCCGGACCGGGGGTACGCACTGTCCCGGTTAAACCCGAATCCGTTGGATACTCACTGTCCCGAGTAAACGCGGAGCGAGGGGTTACTCTGTCTCGGTTAACCGGGGACGTGGTCTACCGAGTTCCGGTTAAGCCCGGAATCGGGGGTACACTAACCTGGTTAACCGGGTCATGGGGTACCCCCAACCCAATTAGCCGAAGTCGGGGGTGGGGGGGGGGGATGTTGGTGAGTGGTGGTACTCTATCCGGGTTAACCGGGTCAGGGAGAGGGATGGGTTACTCTGTCCCGGTGAAAGCCCCTACTGCGGGCGGGCTCGGAAGGGGCGCTGCTGCACCAGGATTGAGAGCAGTGCGGGCTGGAAGGCGCCGCCGGGAGAAGGCGCTCGGTGCCTGCGCTCGATCCTAGAGCTCAGTACCCCACCGCTAACCTCCGGGAGTGGGGAGGTCCGGGGCCGCGCTCAGGCAGCATCACCCCGGCCAGGGCTATATCTGCAGGAAACCCTTTCGGAGAGCCAGGGATCCGAGGGGCAACGATCCCTGGCAGCACTACACCCCCAACCACACCACCCCCCACCACCACCACCACCACTATACACACACACACACATACACAACCCGAGCAAACACCTTCCAGACAGGGGTCCGGACTGCGGGGGGAGCCGGCTCGGTAACCGGGGGCGGGGTATCTCTGCTTCCTAACTTCCAGCTGGAATTCACCAGTTATACCTCTGTGTGTTTGCATGGGGGAGGTAAGGAGCACAGGGACAGGGCCAGATTCAGAGTGTAGAGACTCGGGCTCCCAATCCCATTAATACAATCCTGCCCAGTTGCATTGCTTCCTGTCCCAGAGAGACCTGTATCCCCTCTCTCCCAGCCGCTTCTTTCACCTACCACCTCCGGCCGGGGTTGGGGGGGGGGGGGGGGGGGGGAGCTGTTCCAGAAGCTTGTCGATGGAATTTGGTTAAGCAAAGGTAAAACAGCCCGTCTCAATCCTTATGTTCTTTGCTAAATCTGTTGTTCTTTGAAACATGCGAAAAAAAATCCCTTGCTTTTTATTTAATCCAGATGTGTTTTAAACACCCGCCAAATTCCACATCTGCCACTCAGGGGAGTGGGAACAGAAACCGATCCCGTCGTTTTCATGCGGTACAATTTATCCCAGACTGACAAGCTGATAAAGCCGAAGGTAGACTCGACCCCGCATTCATACCGCACGCACTGAGAATTAATGAAACATTCACTCCGTTAGCTCGGAGTCAGGCCGCTGCTGGGAAAAAAAGTTTTGTCTGTGCGTTTGTGTGTGGGTGAGTGAAATCGCTTCCTACCGTTTTGTCCAGCTCCAAGTGTGAATAAACACCAAGTGATCCATAGGGGTGCCGTGGTTCCCATTCTGTTCAACATCAATCCTCGCCAAATTCCGACTCTTCCCCGGAGAGGGCCTTTTTCTTGTGGGTGTGTGTTGGAGGGGGGTAGAGTAGGGTGGTAGATGTTTTTTTTTTATAAATTCCACTCCTGATCTCTCTTGATGTCCAGCTATATTTCCGTGTATGTCGATATTCCTCTTTCCGCGTCTCTCTCTCTCACACCACACACCGCTCTCCAGCTCCTGTCTTATTTTCCGAACGCCAGTTTCTCTCTCTAACCAAATAAAAACACAATTACGGAAGAAAAAAAAGATTGTGTCCTTTTTAAGCTTCGGATGGTGTCACTTCCTCTCCGGTAGCCGGTTTTTGAATGTTTCTCTCTGTTACATCCTATCGGGGATGGTCTCACAAGCACGCCAGAATGCTTTCCTAGATAACACGGAAAACCCTCCCAGTAACAGACAGACAGATAGAGAGAGAGAGAGAGACCCTCTGAACCCGTCACACAAAATGACTGGCTTGCTCTTTCCGTGGAAAAAAAATTACAGCCTTCCGCAAAGGAGGTTAAAAAACAAGACTTCACTCTCATCCGCATGAAACCTCCGCCAAAAAAAAACTTCAAAATAGGCACAAGGTTGAGCGAGGGTGCTGTTCTCTCTTTCTCTCTCTCTGTGGAGGACCTCTGGTGCGTTTTGTTAGACACAGCGCCCGTAGCCTCCTGCCCGTGTGTGTGTGTGTCTCCGTATGAGTGTGTGTGTCTCTCTCTCTCTCTCTCCTCTCTTCTCCTCTCTCTCTCTCTCTTGGGCAGTTCTGTTCGCTTGAGGATGTCGAAAGCATTAAAAACGGAGCCTCTCACATTACACACACACACGCCCTCCAGAGCCGTGTTTAAAACCATCTCAAACATCACCCACAACACATTCCCAGCTCTCTCCCTCACACACGCACCAAACCGCCTCTCACTCTTACCCCTTGCTTAAGATACACTTAGCTCCCAAGCCATCAAGAAACGCTGACACGTTTAGGGGCGACACGTTGAATTGTTTTGGGTGTGTGTGTGTGTTTACGAGTGTGTTCAATTCTACCAACCAACCCCCGCCCATCAACGCCTCGCCAGCCCACGTTTAGGTACTGAAAAAGTTATCTCACCGCTCAAAGCAGTCGAGTCTGCGTTGAGGGAACTGTCAGTGCAGCTCTGTCATGTTCAGAGGTAATCTCCCTCTCTCTCCGTCTCTCTCTCTCTCCTCAGAGGGTTGTCCTCCGCCCGGGGATACTCCGATTGGGAAGTGCTCCCGTTTATTTTCAACGCATTTACCAGTCATTTCGGGAGCTGAAGTCGTCCCGGCTCCGTTAGAAGTGAACTAGGTGGCGAATCAGCCACGCTCCCTCTCACTGTTATGTTATACATGTGTTTATATACCTCTGTATGAGGTCAAACCCCCACACCCCGGCCTCCTACGGTACAGGGGAAATAGCCCCAGACTATTCAGCCTCTCCCTATAGCTCAAACCCTGCCAACACCGTTGTAATTCCTTTCATGCGGACACTGTTTTCCCTCTGAGAGAGCCGGGTGAAAGCTGCTGTTAGCAGTGGTACGTACCTCCCTACCCAGCACCAAGCTGAGACCCAGAGTGTGCAACAGGATTTTGGGATGGTGGGGAAAGAGAGAGAGAGAGAAGGGATGGGGAGGTTAAACCGAGGGAACGGGTGCAAGGTTCTGGTGTTTATCGGCCGCTACTTGGTGTTTTCACTGTCCTGCAAAAGCTGGCGTCACCTTCCCCAAAAGTCAGACTGCGGGTGCAGTTACCAGTTCTGGCACGATTGTTTCACAGGGGGCTCCCGCTTTCCATCTCTCTCCCTTGGCCAGCTCAGCGGGGAGATGCACCAGAACAGCCTTTCACTGCTGCACTCACACATCGAACGCCTCGCAATGTTCAGAACCTGCCGCTTGCCACAACCGAAGCCCACCCCCTCCCTCGTAAAACCCGGACCGTGGCCCGGAGCGGCTACCTCTCTTTCAGGGCCGTTTAATCTTAGACAATGGGGACATTTATACAAAGGCACTGGTTCTTTGTAATCGGGTACCAAATGACTGCTTCGCTGTTGGGTTGAGGCAAACTAGTGGCATTCCTGATTCAACAGGGCAGCTTAATTCGTTACACGTGGATCCCGGACATGATATATCCGGCATAGAACATCGTAAAAAGAACAAGGAGCACGAGCAGCCCCCCGGGTGCCGCTTCGCCATTTGATATGCATCTGATTGTACTCCATAGCATTCTGGTGTACCCATGATAATGGCATATGTATACTATAGCATTGCATTACATCTGGGATATAGCGCTGAAATACCTGTAATAAAATATTGCAATATATCTGTAATACAACATTGTGACATAGCTGTAATAAATCATGTGATATATCTGCAATATTACACCATGGTATATATGTAACAAAACACTGTGATATACCCGTCACAGAATGTGACATACATAAAAACACCTTGATATTGCATTGATATAACACTGTGATATAACTCTGTGACATACCTGTGACATAATACTGTGATGCATCTGTAATATGGCACTATAGTATAGCACTGATATATGTGTGATATAACATTATGATATATCTGTGGTATAAGACCATGATAAACCTGAGATATAACAATATGCTGTACAATACCTATTACATAACACTGTGATTTACCTGCAATATAATGCCATGCATTAGCAGTAATTTAACAAATCATGTACTGGGAAAATACTGGAATGGAGAATGTTGTATTGCTTCCCTTAGGTTCTGTAATATCCAGAGGTCCCTTGTTCAGATGCAAAATAATGATGGCCATAACAGAACCTGCAAGCCCTCTAACTCTCCCGTTTCTGCCAATTTCAGGACTCCTTTTTAAAACCTCTCACCCCTCACACTGCTATATAATTTCCCAAAGTCAATGATAGGAACTGGGACACATAAAGTCTCTAGGCACTCAATCACATCCAAAATGGCTATTATTTGTGTGTGAGGACCATGACACTTATGCAGTCAGTCCTCATCTTGTCTTTTAATGGTGTATCCTGCAACAGCTAATACATATGGGTGATAGTGGTAGTGATGGGGGTGTGTCCTTGGGAATTTAAAACCACTTGTCACTCCTGTATTGGACCCTAGTCATCCTTTATGGATGGAAACATACAACAAGCAAAGAAGAATGAGCAGGCCCTTCTGCCCCTTAAGCCTTCTCTGCTATTCAATATATTCATAGCCAAACTGATTGTAACTTGAAATCCACATTCTTGCTACCCCTGATAAGCTTTCACTCCTCCATTGCTTAACAAGAATCTATTCACTTCTGTCTTTAAAAGAAATTCAAGAACTCTGTTTTCAGCACCTCGTCAACAAGAGAGTTCCAAAGACCCTCGGAGTGAAAAATATCCACCTCATCTTTGTATTTAAATAGTTTAAATTCTCCCATAAGAGAAAATATCCTTTCTGCAGGACCCTTCGGAATCTTATGTGTTTCAATCTAGTCACTTCTAAACTCCAGTGAGGAAAAAATAGCTTGTTCAACATTGCTTCATAAGGCAACCACCCATTCCAGATATTCAATGGGTAAACTTTCTCTGAACTGTTACCACTCTACTGACATCCTTCCTTTAAATAAGGTGACTAGTACTGTGTACAGTATTCCAGATGTGGTCTCACCAGTGTCCTGTACAAAATGAAATACTTCCCTGCTTTTGTATTCAATTATTTTTAAATCAATCACCATTTATATACACACATTAAAACCTAATAACCTGCTTCCGTTTTTGAGAATTTCAGACCAATATTATATTTCAGAAAGTAATTTTCATAAACAGTTGAGTAAATTAACACTCACAGAAACCTAGGTTACCTCTCCACTTTATACAGAAGACAATTTACAATTCCCCCTTCACACTAATGCAGAATAAAACAGAAAATATTCAAACTCGCCCAACATGTCAAGAACTTCTGAGGAAGGGTCACCGGACCTGAAACGTTAACTCTGTTTTCTCCTTCACAGATGCTGCCAGACCTGCTGAGCTTTTCCAGCAACTTTGTTTATGTCAGGTAAATGGTTTGATATTCCCTCTATACCCCAATACAGACACTAGCTTTACATTTCCAACATCTTCCATGACATAAGATCTCCAGTAAATACTGTTATTGAGATGTATCAGCTAATTTGGACCCAAAGATTACATTTGTCCATGCACCAACAGGATGAAAGATTTGATATACATCTGATTGTACCCCATAGCATTGTGATGTAGCCATGATACACCACTTCCTTGACCCAGTTAAGAATGTTGATATGTCAATTGATAAGGAAGAACCACTGGGAGCTCCAAAAAGTGGGATTCAGTCTGTCAATCTTTTAAAACAATCAGAAGGGCATTGTTCCAACTGATTTATAAACATCGCAAAGTAGCTATAATCAACTTCATGCCAGCCAATATATTCTAGGAAGAGTAATATAACAAAATCTAGTCCTTTCAATCATTGGCTTCTTTTTGGCTGTTAAAGTAATTGTTATCACCCAAAATTAAATACTGCGACTGACTCCTCAACATATCCGTGACTGAAAATGTCATCCTTACATTTTTCTTCATCCCTGGCTTTTCCATAAACTTATGTTTTTGTAAATTCAGCTACCCATAACCTAACTTGCTCCAAGTCATGCTAATCTATTATCTCAGTGCTTGCTGCCCTACAGCAGCTCATACTTGAGCGGGTCCTCAGTTTTAAAATTCCATAGAATCCCCACAGTGTGGAAACAGGCCATTCAGCCCAACAAGTTCACGCTGTTTCCTCTGAGGAGCACCCCACCCAGACCCATTCCCCTACCCTATCCCTGTATCCCTGCATTTCCTGTGACTAATGCACCTAACCTACACATCCCTGAACGCTATGGGCAATTTAGCATGGCCAATCCACCTAACCTGCCCATCTTTGGACTGTGGGAGGAAACCAGAGCACCTGGAGGAAACCCACGCAGACACATGGAGAATGTGCAAAGTTTGGAATTGAACCCAGATTCCTGGTGCTGTGAGGCAGCAGTGCTAACTACTGAGCCACTTTGCTGCCCCAGTTCTTGACTTGTTTTGTAATCCTTCCAAAGTTTCACCCCTTCCCTATCTCTGTGAATCTCCTCTGGTTGTGCAACCCTTCGTGTTATCTGTGCTCATCTAATTCTTGGCCTCTTGTAGTTTTTTTTTTAAATCCAGAAGTGCTATCACACAGAACCAAACAGTCCTTTTCCCACCATCAAACCACTGTGAATTTTTTTTTTGTTTTTAACTATTAACCGTCAGCAGTAAATCATTCATGTAGCTAATTGGATATTTACATGCAAAGTCCATTCTGACCTCTTGCAGATATTTCCTAATCAACACATTCAGAGATGTTATTATACACCTCTGGAGCAGGTAGGTCTAGAACCTGGACCTCTTGGCTCAGAGGTAGGGACACTACCACGCACCACAAGAGCCCCTTTGGCTTTAAAATCAATTTGTTCAAAGACATTGTTACAAACCTCTGGTGCAGATTGGCCTTGAACCCAGGCGTTCTGGCTCTGAGGTAGGGACATTACCACTGCAGCACAAGAGTCCCCTGGCTTTTTACACATTCTGAATTTTAATTGTTGGTAGCTGCTGAGGGCCTTAGCTCTGGAATTCACTCCCTGTACATCCTGTCCATCTTGGCATGTTATTTCCTTGTGTAAGACAATCCTTAAAATCTATGCATTTGACCAACCCTTGGCATCTGCTTGAGTATCTCCTTATGTGACTCAGTGTCAAGTTTTGTACATTAAAGGTGCTACCCGAATACAAATTATTGAGTTTATTGTTGTTTGATTATGTCAGATATCCTAATCTATATTTAGCCTGTGA